GTGTGTGTGTGTGTGTGTTTATACCTTTATTCAAATTAATAAGTTCTAATTGAGTTAACCACACTTTTTACAATTCTCTGTTGAATGTCAGCCGGATACCTTCGTTAAGAATTTGAAACTGATCATATCTTTTTTCAGCATGTTTATAATTATACAGAATAAAACGTAACTAAAATACAAGGAAAATAGCAGCAACAAGCAAGAAAACAAACTGTGGCAAAAATAAAGTTTAGTCATCTGCCCCCTTTCATCCCTTCATTTTGAACTGCTTGACACGATGCAGAACGTAGTGTGGAGTCACAGTTGGATTGGTGTTGTGTCTTACGGAAACAGGAAACAGAGCAAGCTGTGATCGTCAACTGTGCGAATACACGACATGCTTTACTGTTACCCAAACAAAAAGGAGGTACATTATTGTTATTAGGGCAAGTACGGCCCCGATGTGTACGTGCTGCGTCGTAGGCCAAGCCACGACCCCGCGCAAGACGCGACGGGTTAGATTAATCGTCTCTGCTCCAAAGACCCACTCGTGTCTCGCTGCTGGCGCTGTGTAGTAGATCTACCTCAAAGTTTGTGCACTGTTGTTTAGGCCTAGATCTACTTGTCTTTTGTGTTTTCTTGATTACCGCGGGAACAGCCAGAGCTAAGTAAGTAGGTCAACATTACTTTATAATATATAATGATAATGCCAGAGTAATTTGGGACTTTTAAAAGTTTAGCATTTAGAGAATCTCTAATCTATATTTGATGATGATGAGGTGCATAATTTGCGCAGTTAGGTAGAATCTAGAGTCTAGATTCTAGAACTAGAAAATCTAGATCTAGATCTAGATCTAGAGAAAAAAAATTAGAATTCTAGGAAATCTGGTCGAAATGTGACTTTAATACTGTTTTAATTAGGCCTTCTCACTAAGTAGCCTACACTCAGTATGTTCTAGATCTAGATATCTAGATCTAGAATCTATCTAGATATAGATCTATATCTAGATCTAGATTCTAGATCTAGATCTAGATATCTAGATCTAGATCTAGATCTAGATCTAAATCTAGATCTAGATATAGATCTAGATTGTAGATCAAGAAATCTATGCATGCTAGACTCAAAATTGTTGTAAGTAAAGTCATGTCACCGTCCAAGACGCAGCGGTATATTCACTCGGCGTAACATGAATGTGTGTACATATTATGTATTGATCAACCGAAGTACAACGACGTTTGTCGGTTCACCTCACAGCACAGTCACCCTCTGACCCACCACACCTCATGCCACAGGGTGATGCACACACGAAAACAATAGACCCCTAATTAGATTATCTAATTCGTTCATCTATATAGATCTATCTATATCTAGAGATCTAGAATCTAGATCTAGTTCCGGGACATGGGAGTCATGCATGGCATGGCAGTTGTTCATGTCAACCAGACCTGCTTCTGCTGCATTACGGCGACTTGAGAAGTCATGCGTGCGTGCGTGCGCCTGCATTTAGCCTAGAAATCTAGATCTAGATCTAGAGTCTAGCTAGTGTCGTCCGCCGATATTTCGCAGGACGCGTAATGAGCACCCCGTATTAGAACTGTGGTCTTGATCATGACCTTGATCTTAGATCTAGATTGAGATAGACTTAATAATTTATAGCAGTGGCATAATTTGTTTATAAATGTTTGCACTGAAATGTGCACTGTGACTTTACTTTGGGGAAGATTGAAGAATACCGGACCACTCTCATACATTATTGGGCGAGAAAGTGGGGTAGGTGGGGTGGGTGGTTGGGGTGGAGGAGGGGGATTTCAGGGGGGGTCTCCCCCCTGACAAAATTTTAATGAATAGATCTACCGGTCCGAGATTCTCCATTGAGAGATCTCTATACGGTATTAAAAACGGGGAAATTATGAACTCCTAAGGTTGAGACGTAGGTAAAGTCAGTCTGCTTGTCCAGTATTCTTCAATCTTAATCTTTTACCCTCTTTTCACTTCCTGGCCTTGTTTGCCTTGTGCAACAAGTTGTAGATCTATATCTTATCTAGATCTAAGTCTAAGTAGTGAAATGACTCCTTTTTAGTTTTAGCGTAGCCTATGTCACAGAAGTTTAAAACTAATCTCTCATAATTATGAATCATGAGGGGCAGGTCACGCTTCAACTTGTCCATTAACTTTTACTGTTGCAGCTGAGTCTGTTTAAGGTAACAGTAGGCCTACTAACAGCCACTGTCACAATGGCCGTCCCAGCTGGTGCCCACTCTACAGGTGACACACCTAGGCTACCTACACATGTTACTGTAGATCTTATCAACCACAGCACTCATACATGATGACATACATTATAAACATACATACACACACACATACACACACACACACACACACACTCACACACACACTCACACACACACACACACACACACACACACTTAAAAACTGAAAGATACCAGATATGTTAGGCTACATACACATGGCATTGACCAAAAGACACACTTCTATGATACA